GTAATCGTTGATTATCGCTCAGTTAATTAATGTCTGGAATACCAGGATCTACCTACTAGCTACTTATAACAGTGAACTGGTCAACAATACCATCGGTCATCACAACCAGCCGACCTGCATATCATCAGTGTAACCCGTTAAGTTGGTTGTCTGCAAGCCTGGACTTTCTAATCCATTGTGAATGAGATGAGCTATATGAAGTATCTTTATAGATTGCACACTTGAAATATTAACTTATACCCAATCAACAATTACTGTTGATTGGGTATAAGTTAATACAAACTGTGTAACAGTAACAAATACTGTGAAACAAATACCACACAAGAGGAGCGGCTAATGCCGCTCCTCTAATGTGGGATTTGTTCGTTTGTTGGTCGTCAAAGCCTTATGTACTGTTACAAAATAACATTTTAAAAATATTTTTTTCCCTTGTTACTACAATAATAGTAACTAGCGATTACAAAAGACGCGGGGAAATTACAGGTAAGGGGGAACGCAATCTACACATGCATTAACGATGATTGAGTAGTATATTATTGAGAAATTCTTAAAGTTGCTCCCTCTCTCTTTTTTTTTCACTAAAAAAGAGGCAGGTATAGCGATAGTATTTAAATTAAGGATATTATTTTTATTTCTATTGCTGTAATAAGTTAGGGAACGATGGCACCTCATAGGATTCCTATGTATAAAAGTTCATAAATAAAATTTGTAAACAAACCAGTTGGGCCAAATAGCAATAGTTTTGAATGTAGGTAAGCCCATTGAACGGTTCTGTTTCTTCTCTTTTGATTATATAATAATAAAATCCAAATATAAATTTATTTAACTTGCAAGGCGACAAGTGTAAATGGTTCATGACTGTACTCAGTGCTAATCTATCGGGAAGATCTACGTTCTGCAGTGAACTTGTGACGGGCTGCAGTGATAGTGATAATCTTATTTATTTATTTAACATTTTTATTAACACTTAAATAATTATTGAGAGGACAAAATAAAACAAAGAGTTATTACAAAGGCATTTCGTTTTGTTTCATAACATTTCTTCAAGTAGACTTTTTGTAATATTGTTATAAATGGACACCAGTTGTTTTAAAATGACATAACTGAAAACTGTTTTGTTAGTTACCCTTAGGCTACGATGGTAAGTGGATTTTGTGGCCCATAGACATCTACATTTATCTTTGTTGTAAAAAGGATCTCCAGTTCTCTACTATCACCATACGAATCACAACGGCATTAAGCTGCTGTGTTACGCTGGTACTCTGTGAGAGCGTGGTCCTACCCCGGTCGAGGAGACTCATTCGATAGCCATAATATATCTGGTGCGTGGCTCCACCACGTAATAAAGATCCATGAATAATATGCTATTTATGTTTAATACTGATACCATATGAGTGTTTGTAAGATAATCCACTGCCCTATTCCCTTAGGTATCGTAAGAGGCTACAGAGAGATAACAACTTCACAAGGTAGGAGATTGGTAGTAGCAGCCTGATAACAGCCAAAAAAAATATCTGATAAAGTATCAAGCAGCTTTGCCTTTAATGACGGGATAACCACGATAGCACCTAGTAACGTATAACGCACGCACATTGAGGTCAGGTTAAAGGATTCTAGCGCTGAAGGAAGAGATAGACAAGAAAAATTGAAATATTATCTAGACACAGTAGAGTGTCAGCCTCGTCAAAATTCGTAAGGTGCTTTTGGGTAAATCAGACATATTTTCTGATTAGTTGATATGATGAATATTTAACAATAATTTTATTTAATCTATTCAAGTTTAAAATCAACTCAAGTCACTTTTATTTATTAAAATACATATCCTAATTATTTTGTTATTCATCTTAATAAAATGTCTTTGCGTTGAGTAAATACGATCATTTAAAATTTGACATATTTTTCTTCTGGATAAGGTGTAATTCCGATATGACGCGGGGTAAAACCAAAAATTCGGTAAAGTGTTCCTTTTTTGACTTTCGACAGAAGATTTAGATTTACTTCTCGTTCGTCTATACCCCTCTACAAAAAGCATTGATACATACTTTATGTTTCTAATTTAACTATATTTCGCTCACTTTAATTTTCGGAATCACCCCACATAAAGTCCAGTGGCCCTAAAAATTTAAGGCATCACCACGGCAGCGTTTCCGTACCTATTTGGACAGTTATTAGGCTAGTTAAAGAGGTTTCTTCAAACTTTTATAACAGGTAAGCGAGAATAAAAAAAATATACAGTTCTTTATATATTTTAATGTGTTAAAGTAACCGATTTCGGGATTTTTTCAAACCTTTAAAAACTCAACAACGAAAATATTAACTTAATCGTAAAACGTCATAGGACCTATTTTATTCATATTTTGCCAAGAAATATAAAAAAAATATTGGTTATACTTTATTATTTTTCTTTATGCATTTTTAATGGGTCCAAAGGTCAAAAGTATCCGAAATTGGGATTTTTCAAGCCTTTAACAATTCATAGCTTTGAAGATATTAACTTTATCAAAGAATATCAAGTTTAAACAATACCTATGGCACCGAGTTGCCCCATGGCAACATGCATTTATATTATCATCATTAGGAGAATTTGAAGGGAATCGCATAAAAAAATTGATGTGGAATAGTTTTCGGTACACATGCGGCTATTTCTCCTGGACTATGTCTATATATTTGGCATTGCGGTAGGTACGCCTTGCCCACTCTCGTTGGTTTTTTTTTATAGGAGACGGGGCAAACGAGCATGCGGCTGACCTGTTGGTGACTACCGCCGCCCATGAACAACTGCAACACCTGGGGAACCAGGGGAATTGCAGATGCGTTGCCGGCCTTTTAAAAAGGAGTAGTAATAGTAGTAGTAGTAGTTCGCGAGTGTTAAACTTATCCAAAATAACAATTTATGCTGATGAAAGATTGACAGCCACTAGAAACTACAATGGAAAAGTAGTACTATGTATTGTGTAATGTACTATCACATTAATTCGTAATTGACCCTCTGGAGTATTTCCGAAAAAAAAAACAAAAACAATAACTGGCTAATCCTAACCTATAAAATAAAGCTTTAAAAACGATTATCTATCATAAAATCAAACAATCATTATGATTACTTAGCAGGTTCCTAAGATAATGAACGCGGGATAGTTCCGAAAAACCGAAAAGAGTTGAAAAAAGCTGTTTCCACCGAAAAGTTAACTTTTCACACGCAATATTGGGACTAGCTACCTGAAACCTCGCTTCAGAGGGAGATAAATAATAAATAAGATGTCGTCTAGAATAATGTTACCAGAGCAAAAAATATTGCCTAGTTAAGTAGTAATCTGTAAATATCGGAATTCCCCTATTTTCGTAATAACCCCAAAGTACCTTAAATTATTAAAGATGTTATGTTAAATTTATTTAGCTAAGTCGCGTAAAAATAAATATGTTTATGAAGAGTTAGCTAATTAATATTAACATCTTTAATTTATTGAATTTTCGCAAAGTTATTAGGTAACGCCTAATTATATTATGACAAAGTTATCGGTGCAGTTATTTCCAAGTACTGTACTGGAAACGAATCGCAACAAACTTTGTCGACATTTAATTCTTCATTTAAATTAGAAATAAAAAGAAAATAGTAGCGTGACCGCAGGTATAAACTTTGAAGATCATGTATTTATTAAGATCAGTAAAAGGGTAACACTTTAATTCAAAAATCAATGTTATATCACAACAAAAACAAAACGCTAAAAAGGTGTGATGTTGGTATAAACGACGTTTAGGATTGACGGTTTCGCAGATAAAAGATGGAGGTCTGAACGGGCGCCAAGCTTCATAGCAGTTTTGTAAATCATGGGACAAACGAGCACACAGTCCACCTGATGGTAAGTGGCTGCTGTGGCCCATAGACATCTACATTTATCCTAGTTTGCGAATAAAAATGCAGATGCGTTGTCACCCGTGAGGACTCAGATGGAATGCCTCTTTTTCAGTAAAAAGGGTCTCCGGTTCTCTACACTCATCATACGAAACATAGCAGTGTTAAGCTGCTATTTGACGCTGGTATTCTGTGAGAGCGTGGTCCTTCCCCGGCCAAGCCGACCCATTCGTGCTACAACTATACTACTAATATAGCTGCAGCAAGGCTCTACCACGTATAAATTGTTAAAAACAATACGCTCGTAGTTATTAACGAGTATGTTTACCCAGGATAAGTTGGCCAAGTCCAATCTCGACCGAGACGTCCACCGACGAATCCAACTCGGCTGGGCAACTTTCGGGAGATTATGACATCTTCCTGTCGTACCTAAAAGCTTAAAATTAAGTGTGTAGTGTATGCCACATATAGATCTAGGCACGTCTCCACCAAAGTTTTGTTGCCAACGAATGTTTCTGCCAACAAGCGTCTCCACTGAGGGAACAAATGTTGGCAACAAGCGTATTCCTTTGATATTGCCGCCGAAAATGGAAAAAAGTTTTGTTGGCAACAAAACTGGTGGAGACGCGGCTTAAGACTCCACGGCTGACCATATGAGAAAACTTAAGATCACTCAGCAAATTATGAATAGGACTTGGCTTAGATTTTTCTGCTCAGTAGACTTAGTCCTAATCAGTAAGCTGAAGTTGCAATGAGCAAGCCACATACCTCGTAGGACCCACAACTGATGGGGGTGCTCAAGTCACAGTCTCATACAAGTAAGTCGAGTGGAGAGCCCCCCACCATGTGCAGTGACTAACATGCTTTGTCACATTTCTTGGAGGAGGCCCAAGTTCAGCAATAGACTTGCAATGTGTTGTAATATTGAAGTACTTCAGTCTGTAGGTTACTTTAAAAATAAACAGAAATTAAAAAGAACAGAATTTATTTACACATTTTATTTACTTATCCTCCTATAAATAAATATATTGACCAAAGACAATGTGTTTTATAATAATAAAACAACAGACATTTAGGTCAGTAATTTAATGTTTTTGATCTTAACTGATTTTAAATAACATTTCTAAAAGTGAGCTAAGATGATTTTAATTTACGCTCTGAGCCAATACATTCCTGCACGAATACGAGTATAATCTGGTAATCCCTCAGTAGGACCTACTGCAGCAACTGCAGGGCAACGATCATACAGATATTTAGAACAGACATCACGAACAGTTTGCGCTGTGACAGATTCAATGCGAGCATCAAGTTCATGAATTGGGATGCGACGGTTGTAACAAAGCATTTGACGTCCAATGTCTTCACAAACTGGTGTAGTGCCATCAAGCTGTAGCAGCATGTTTGTTTTCAACAGATTCTTAGCCCTTTCTACTTCACCTTCTGTGACTGAAGTGCACAGCTTCATCCATTCCTTTTGAATATTGTATACCATATCCTCCAATTGTAGGGGTTCTGCTACAAAGTAGATACCCCATAGACCGGTGTCCTTGTAACATGTGTTGAATGATTGAAAACTGTGACAAAGGTTTTCACATGATGCTGCACGAGCCAAGTAAGAAGCATTGTTTGCACCGCCACCTTGAGAACGATCCCAAGCTCCAATAAGAGTATTAGCCACCATAAGAGGAATGTTGTCGGCATCAGTCCAACCTGCACCTTCTACAGCAATAGCTACATGTGCAAGAGGCATGGAGTCATCTCTAACTCTTATTTCGGATCCAGTGTAACGGCATGGAGCCAATTCTGGGATGTCATAAGCAGTATTTTTCAGTCCACTGAAATGTTTAGTAGCAAGATCTACAAGTCTCTCATGCTCTACTCCACCAGCACCAGATAGGACTATTCTGCTAGGCTGATAATGTGTCTTGATGTATTGTTGCAGATCGGCTTTAGAAATTTTCTTGATGTTCTTGGTAGGACCAAGAATAGTCTGACCTAGGGGAGTGCCTTGAAAGGCTGTAGCATGCAAGTGATCAAACACTACTTCTTGTAAATTGCTTTCGACATCTTGCATTTCACGAAGAATGACACCGCGCTCTCGTTCGATTTCAGGTTCAGCGAGCGAAGAATTTTGAATGATATCAGCAAGAATCTCGACAGCCACAGGTACATCATTTGCTAGACATTTAGCGTAGAACACTGTCTGTTCCCGAGATGTATAAGCGTTTAAGTGGGCTCCCATATTTTCAACAAGCAATTCTAAATCCGTCTGGGATCTTTTGCTCGTACCTTTAAATGCCATGTGTTCGAGGAAATGAGCGACACCGTTATTTTTTGATGTCTCATACCTTGAACCAGCGTCAATCCACAGGCCTACAGTCGCTGTCGCACATCCGGAATCTTCAGAAGCAACACGGATTCCATTATCGAGGACTGTCAGTCTTGTTGGAGGAATATTAACTAACGCCTGCTTGTAGCCGACGGCAGTTGCCAGAAGTCGCACATTATTACTGTGTTTTGATAGTAACTTTAACGTTAATCCTGCTTTCAGCATTTTGTTATAAATCTATTACTTACTAAAATTTTCGCTCGCTGATTTACGTAATAAAATGAATGATCGAACTCGAATGTCAAACACCCTGAAACACCCTAAAGAAGAGAAGACCAAAGAGTATAATATATAGTGTATTTTTTAACTGGCTTTCCGGCTCTGGGTTCTAGCCCTTCTGAGCCTGCAAATATAATGTATAATTTATAATTACTATCTTTAAAAATTAGAAATGTCACGAACGATACATTCATCAAAAATTTACTATAGTGCGCGCAAGATAACTCTGCGCGCGACTGATGGCGTACTTAATGTTACCAGCTTAACTAATATTTTTTTCCTTCATTTAATCTTATTAGTAGAATTATATAATTATATCGAATTACATAAATTACCGAATTGATTACCAAAACTCCGTTGAAAAAACTGTAATATTCAGCTTAAACTTACAAATACCTAATAAATATTAAACCCTATATTTATTGTTTAAGATTCGCATAATAAATATATTTCTTGATTGTAACTTCCGTAAGTTTGACACTACACATCACAAGTTTCTATGGTAGGATTTAAGTTATTATTAGTTAATGTAAATTATTCTTTAAAAAATTTGAAAACGTTTAATTTATGCGAGGGAGTTTGAAAAAAAAAACAAAATACGCTTCACTTTTATTTTTGGTATTCTTCTCAGCAAAGCCTTTTATTTGATATCCATTTCATTGGATCCCATCTTTGAAGTCTGCCATATTGGATTTAGAATGAGGTTACTTATTTTCATCTACACTTAACGTATATGCAAAATTTCCGCTCCATCGAGAACCTAAAAGTTGGTCAAATTAAACTTTCAAATATTTTTACATAATTATAGGTGAAGATATTATATGCGTGTCAGAAATGCCTATTATTATGATTAATGAACACTGATATTTTGTCTATAATGAACTTTCAAAAAAGATATTTTAAAAATATTTAATATAAAGAACGAAATTAAAAGTCCATGGAAAACTTGTAAATCTTTTATTGAATAGCTAGATCTATATGTAAATTTGGTGTAACAATGGTTCTGCAGTGGGTCAACGCCTTCCATTCTCACATCTTCATTAGAATCCATGCTATTCTTCATCAGAAGACTCGGATGTGTCATTAATTATAAATTTATCCATTTAAACTGGCACCTTTAGTATTCATAGCCCATAGTCTTTAATCTACTACTCAACGTTTTCCTGCCATATTTAAAATCAATATCAGCTTGCAATTCCAACCAAAGTTTATTTATGGCAGGAATCTCATTCTTCACAACCTCAAACGATTGATTTAAATGCCTTATAGCGTCACGTATGAAAATCGTTTAAATCATATTTTTTTTCATCCGGTTCCCAGTTTTTCCCGGCGTCACAATTTTAGAAGATAAAGCTGCTGCTACATTATGTACCCTCTTGAATTATTTGGGTGATGGTGAGTTCAGAAACGCCTAAAACATAATAAAAACAATGCATTATAAATTTATGATATTAATGACATGAGAAAACTAAAAACGAACAAATCGAGAAAATTAGGGCAGTTTTATTTGTTATGGCAGCCCTAAAAATTACCTGTGAAGTATGGAACGTGGACTCTAACTTTGGAAAATGGTACTGTAGGCCCGGTATTGTCTCATTCTTCTTCACAAGCACGTTTGGCCTTCAAGATAATATCCCTGCCAGCAATTTTAATCACTTTCGGCATAATGATGACGATTATTTACTGCAAAAACGAATAAAAACACGACACCTAACAATCTGTTTTGACACCTGCCATAAACATTAATATGGCGGCACACGATTAGTTCCAATTTTGGCCACGCGCAGAGTTATCTTGCCCGCACTTTAAAGATGAGTCGTACAAGGTAAGTTTTGTACTAGGTTTACTTAGTCCAATTCAGTACAAATACTCGATCCAAATAACTGTTCCACCTAGTCGTACTCACCACTTTTAATTAATCTTAATCTTTACGTACCGATACGTGAAGGTAATAAATAATAATAATCCATTCAAATTTACATAGGCTTAAGACTGTCAACGTCAATATTTATATAAATTCTAGAAACCTAGATTGTTGGCGTATAAGGTTTCAATAATTTTTTTTCAGAATTAGCTGATTTTTGTTTTTTTTTTCATTTTTTTTTAATTATTTTTGTTTTGTTTTTTTAATTACCTGTCTACAATCATTGTTTTTTACATACGTGCATAAAAATTTGTCTTAAGAATTTTTAAAATTAAATTGTATTTTACAAATGTTACACGTGTACAATAAAAAATAAATCGAAAATCCTTAAACCACATAACAATACTTCGTTACGAAAACCTATTAATAAATGAGTCGTGAAGGTTAATTCGGTAGGTCAACACGGTGCCGAGATCACATTCGCATGAGTCCGTACTAGACACTCTACTGCATCGTATGGTCTCCCTTCGCATCGAGTATTTATTTAGAAGTACCCAGTGTATAAAATCTGCCTAGTATTTTGTTGAAGTCCCCGGGACTAGTCCCGACTAGTCTCGAGTATTGACAGACAAAGATAGAAAGACTGCGGAATAGTGTAGTTTAAAAATGACAGAATATATTCTTAAACAACTTGAGTGTGCGTTTTTTACAAATGACTGACACACGAATGCTTTAGGAAAACACGAGTGAGCGGTAAATTACACTAGTAACTACGGCAACAAAATGCTATCTCGCTCCGCCTCGCCTGTACTTGTTCGATTCGAGCAAGCCGCCGCGCCGGTGTCGTACGACGCGTAGGCACAGTGAGACTAGGTGGATCAAGTCTTTTAAAAGTTGGAACAGGGGCAACCTAGTCTAGTTTAATACCTAGTGCCTGGATCTGTTCTAGTATATACGCTTCACTTCATCTATAAAATTCACTTTGACACTGATTCACAAAGAGTTTGTTTACGTTTGCACTATTGATAAATATCACGTTGTTTTCATTTTTTAATAATATCTTTAACACCAGAAATAAAGGAATATAATGGTCGGAATAATTCTTCGTCAGCTAATAGACTTTAAAGAGTATCAGGAAATTTATCATTGTTAATATCTTGAATGGAAGTAATGAGGAAAAATCTATTCAAACCAAATTGACAACGATGAAAAACTAGATGTTTTAGGTCTCCTTTCGTGTCACCACAATATTCATAATTTGCATTTTCTTTCATTCCCAAATGATGCAGGTGGGCGGGTACTCTGCTATGTCCAAATTTCATTCGGTTTACCGCCGTAATGAATTTCCTATTACATATTAATCCTTTTTTGTTGTACTAAGGAGTGGCTGGCGGACTTTTTTGTATTTCATAATGCCAAATTCCTTTGGACTTGCTTATTTCTGCCCAGTATGACTTCCATAAGGACCTCAAGTTCTTGCTTAGCAAGGCATATATCGTCATTTATATAACAATACCGCGTAATTTAATTTTGGCGGTTGTCATTTTGATATCATTGGACAAAGGTTTTTCTACTTTTACCTATGGCAGTCTTTACTTTTCGACCAATAAGAACGCTATATATTCAAATAATTCAAAAATTTTGACACCGCGCAAGTCCGTTGGTTCGTCAACACCATACATTGACCTCTTTATATGGACTGGCTATACACCGTGACATAATAAGGCGATTTGATTTTTACCATTTTGGCGCTGACAGCAGAAGTGAACGTCCTTGAAACTAATAATAAAGATACTCAGTGTGACAAAATATATCGATAAAAATTATATACACAGGCCTACCCGTAACGTCCATTATATTTATGTATCATATTAATAAATAATATAAATAAATGTATCAATTAATAACCTAGGCCTTAGACGCAAGCTTTATACCTCATATAAAACCAAGAACGATGCGTTGGTCTTTTTATGTTTTTATTCGTAACTACAGAACGGGTTTTGTTCCGGGTTTCAAATGAGGAAATGCCTACGCATACCTGCTTCGTGGGGGCAAGAACGGATTATATATGGTGCTCCACCTTCCCCACACATTAGCAAGGCCACGGAAACTCTTTCAAACACATCAGCGGTTCCACCAGCGAGGACCCCTCCTTAGTTGAGGACTTCTCTTGACCCTTTTCCTTCTCAGATAAGGCGCACCAGGTACATAAGGCGCACTGCCCTTCGCGGTCTCTTACTCCACCTATACAACGGACTCCCCGAGCCCGATATGTGGAGACCATGGACCCAGGAAAAAATGAGCACTCGGAAGCACCCAGTGGTACAGCCCTGCCCCATAACGGAGGATAGTGGGGGGCAAATCGCTATACAAACAATCCTCTTTCCTTGCGACTCCACCTCAGCTGCAGCGATATAGAGAGAGGAGTCTCCTCTAGCTGCAGCCTATTAACACATATGCAAGCGCTTGAAGCCACTTTGGGCCAGTCCTTCACTTCGGGCCAGCCATGTGAGTCGCTCTACGTTTACCATGGGTTAGCAAGCCACGGCTACTAACCGCCCCCCCCCCCCCCTAAACTCACTAAAGACATTAATAATATTACAATCCCAATATAAAGTTATTCCCTTCATATAATAAATTGGTCACATTTAAACACATTTAACAAATTTACGTCTTGTAAACAAGCTATCATCGGGTAACCTTTCTACACTTGGCTATGGCCCTTGAGTCTGGGGGAAAATAGCGAGAGAAGAAATGAAAAACATTCGAAATAGTAATCTAATATCTAATAGTTACTGGTATTGGTACTACCAGAAAATATTGTGAGTTATACTGCACTTTTTCAAAGGGATGCCTTTCTCATGTCCAATAAAACAGTCGTAAGTGAAGTGCTTAGAACAAAGATAATCATTTTATTTGGGACCCCAATTCCCAAGTTTTGTGCTTTTTGGCCATAATTTTAGTCTAGATTCAGTTGGAAACCTGTTAATTAATAAATATTTGACAGTTATCTGTTGTCGGCGACGTTGGGTATTAACAGATATGGGTAGAAGAGAATATCGATAAGTATTATAGAGAAGGAACTCGGCAACCCTATTAAATTTTATTGTTTATCAAAAGTCAGTAAAAGCCAAACATGTTGGTAATTACGATATCAAAATTCGTAACAAATTTTTAAGTAACTATAACATCAAATAGTTTTGATTTGTTTAATATTAGCTGTAAATTCACTAATTTGTGGAATGTTATACCACTTTCCTTTGAGTAACGAGTTTTACATATTAAGCACACTCATTATTACTAAAAATAATTTTTATTATGTAACTAAAATCAAACATAAGCAAACCACATGAAATACTTTCATTTTTTAGTTTAAAAATTCAGAATACAGAGATACGATTTGAATAATACAAACGACTTATGTCAATTTTAGTTCCAGGTACGGACAATGAGGGCGCTTCAAATCGGCATAAGCATTTTGTATGGTATATAGTCCAGCGTACTTATATAAATATGTAGAGGTTAGTGACACCACATGAGTAAAGAATCCGTATCGTATCAACACCGCGTATGTCTTCATTCCGGTGGGAGGGGGGGGGGGGGGGGGGCTGAGGTGTTTGACGTCCCAATATCATAGTTAACCAAAGAGAATATAATCATTACGTTTTAGAGGCGGTACTTCCTAAGAAAAAGTAAATGTATGAAAGGGCGACAAGTTACTCTACTGCTGACAACATAGGCGAATTATAATAGTAAATATCTATCCTCGTATAATCTTACCGATATAATGTTTATCGAAATATTGTTTATCGATATTTTCACGTAATAAATGTTTGATTCACAGACTAATATGATGCTTACGCATGTTAGATCTCTATACTGAATTGTCTATGAGAAATAAATTTTTAACGTGGGGATTGAGGAAAAATGCCGATGAGGATAAGAAATCAATGTATTTTACACACAGCAATTTGTAATTATATCTGTACAATTATTAGGTACAAAAATATGTATAAAGAAAATATAAAATAAAAAACGAACTATTATACTAGTAATTAATTAAGTAAAAAATAAATGACGACTCCGTAACGCTTAGTCTGCGTCTGGATGTTTGTATTCAACGTTATTTTTTTAAAGGGTAAAAAATGGGTTTCTTAACATTGATTGGATTAAATTGCTTTTAAGTGTAACAAATGCTATGCACAAATCGCCAGGCTCCTTCACAGAGCTACCTATGTACATACTACTCGCAGAGATCGTTTACTAATAGTCGCTTTCAAAATGAGTGCTCATTATAGCTAATGTTTGTAGATGAATCTATAAAAAAAATGGTGTACATGAATCTATAAAGAAAAATATTTACAACCAAGTAATTATAAATAACGAGTTTAGTTACATAATCGAATTATTACTAAAATGTGACTTTAGAGGGATATTATATCTTTTATTCCATATAGAAGAAACCTAATTGACATACACATAATTGTAGAAGTTATAATTAAGTCCACTGATGGAATAACAGTCCGTTTTTTTTGGATTCAAAATCTTTGGATTAGTAGTGCTTACCACAAATATGTTTTAACATGTGAATCTTTTCAACTGATACATGTGTCAGCTATTTCACCCATTGCTTGCATTTGAAAAAATAATATAAATAAAATCACATTTTTATTGAACAAATATAATGTTAGCAGTCACAATTGATAATGTAGTTTCTAAGTATAGTTCGTTTCGAACTATTAGATTTAAGAAATAGTGCGTTTGTATTTGTGCACGTAATCGTAAACTATAAAAACCTGCTCAAGTGGATGGCTAGTTGTAGGGAAACCTTGACTTAATCGTCACACTATTATTCTTTTATTTTACGTTATGCTGACGCAAAATGTTACTTTTATTTTATATCACCATTACGTAAATTTTTGCTTCACTTCTGCTTCATTTTATGCTAAAATTCGCAAATACTTCGCAGTAAGATTCTATTAGGATATACAACGTATTAGGCTGTGTAGCCAAAGACCTTTGTTTCCCATTTTTTGCGAAAAGAAACAACTACACTCTATGGACGAATTACATGAAAGAAAAAAGAAAAATACATAGACGAAAGAAATCATGTGGAAATCATCTCATTCGCACATTTTCTACTTTGTTGGTATATTACGAAAGCAATGATGTTTAGTGGCAATTGGTTTTTAGTTAATTCTATCAACTGTTTATGTCAAAAAGTTCTACAAGTATAGGTGTCCATCGGTCCTTGCAAAATGTTTCAACAGTGATCAAATCTAAGCAGCATGACTACAACAATGAAGAATCCCAATTCGTCATCTTCTAAACTCCCCCTCTTTAGCCATATTAAGTATGAGCACCTGGTAGCTGGTATATCGGGTGGCGTCACTTCTACTCTTATTCTTCACCCTTTGGACCTTATCAAAATCAGATTTGCAGGTATGTATTTGTTGTTTCATTTTAGTAGGTTCTAATCTTCATTGTTATTCTTATCAACACCCGTTGTGTCAATTTGTTAGTTAATTTTGCAACAACACCTGTAACTCAATTATTAACATCTGTGGATAATACGTGACCTTGAACTTGATTAACTTTTATAATAGTGAAAGTAAAGTTGTGGAATATTTCTTATAATAATAAACTGATGCAATACTGATGTAGTTACTTTGATGCGAATTTGTAAGCATGCTCAAGTTTTTTTAAGTAACTGAATTACATTACATTTTTTTTATTTTATATTACTGTTATATTATAAAATGCATATTGAACATTTCATTTACTTTGTTTGTTGATGTTGAAATAATATCAACAATTGTAGTTATATTAAAATTATTATATAAATAAATCATGAAGTAATTTATGGAAATAAATTTTATTGAAAGTAAATTTGCTTCAATTCACTCTTATTAAAATGATTAACAAAGGCATTTGTTTACAATATTGTGCTTTAAAAATATTAATATATCAAATTTCATATGTTGCTTGTGACTTGAGCATTGAGTGTACTACGGCTGGTATGCATAGTGCACTTGAATGCTTTTTTCTGATGATTCATGAACATTATTTGTTTACAGTAAATGATGGCAGGACTGCAACAGTACCAAGATATGATGGACTTGGCAGTGCATTTGTTACAATAGTTAAGAATGAAGGTGTACGGGGATTATATAGGGGTGTTACTCCTAATGTTTGGGGTTCGGGTTCAGCTTGGGGTTTCTACTTCTTATTGTAAGTGTTGTTTTTTCTTTAAGATGTTATTCAGTCTGCTAAATATTTAAATATGTATAAAACAAAAATAAGATAAACAAGCAAATTACTATTTAATAACAAAAAATTGACTGCCGCTACTTGCTATGAAACTAATTAAATGATGATTTACTCAAATAATAGGACGATAATATATTATGATGATACAAGTTAAGCTAAGGCACCTGCAATTCCTCTAGTGCTGCAATTGTTGATTGTGGGGGTAATTAACATCAGATGAGCCACACACTCTTGTTCTGCCTTTTCTTCTCAGAAAGAAACAACAGTATTTAACAGTACAATAAGTATCTTATGTGTTATTAGTTTTTTATCTAAAGTAAAATATTGTGAGGAGAAGGTAGCAGTGTAGCTGACTTTTCTTTGTCCAAAAGAAACCCTCTACTAATGCCATGTGATAATGGAGAAATGGAGTCTTGTAGGTGTCATAAAAGGCAATTAGGGGAGAGGCCAGGAAGACCTCATGTCCTTTAGTAAATGGTGATGTATCAAGCTGTATATGCCTTATTTAAAATAGCTAATAAATTAATCTGGTAATGGTTGTTGCCTGTCGAGCAGTGAATTATTACAAACTGATTCAGAAGTTGGTACCATACTCAATAGATTATTCAAATTGAAAATCTCATAGCAACAAACAAATAAATGTCAAATAATACATTAAAAATATTCTGTAATTTATTACTATTTTCCACCTGGCAAAGGAGAATGTGTGAATCTTAATAAATTTAAATTGAACTTTATTTATAACAATAAATAGGATGGAGGTCTTGTTGTTTTTGTAGTATAGAATTCTGTAGACAATCATTGAGCTGTATTAACATTGTGCATTCCTTTTACAGTTACAATGCAATAAAAACATGGATACAAGGTGGGAATGCAAGGACACCACTTGGGCCAGGATTACATATGCTTGCTGCTGCTGAAGCTGGTATACTCTCTCTTATCATGACAAATCCCATCTGGGTGGTGAAGACGAGACTTTGCCTGCAATATAGTGATGAACATGTAACAGAAAACAAGCGATACAAGGGCATGGTTGATGGCCTTACTAAAATATATAGAACTGAGGGTATCAGAGGCCTTTACAGGGTGAGTTCAGATTTTAAGATTAATTTTTATTTCATTAGGGTGAAACAAACAGTAGGAGGCAGTATGTAGTAAGATATTTACTTGTAAGGATTACATAGATTACATATGTTTTCTGTTGGTAGAATATATATCTATCTGTCGGCTTATGTAATGCACCTTGAACTGTTGATGTCTTAAACAAAGATACTTTGTGAAAAGTTGAATGTCAAGGTTAATGGGAACACCATTACACTTGCAGAAGTTATATACGAAAAATATCAATACATTTTTAGAAGCCAGTACTTTCAATTTCTTCCAATTTCAATGGAACTTTATTCCTGGTTTCTTTTTATATGTTGAGGTTCTTCATATTTTTATTATCAAGATAAAATGCTTATCCAACTTGGATATTTTAGCATTAAGGTTTGGTGTTAATAACATGACAAAGGAATAAAAATAATTTTTTATTCCTTTGTCATGTTATTTTTAACTACTTTTTTAACTTTCACACATTCCAATGCCAGGTGCAGGCCTCATTCTTGAGTTTCTCTCAACCACCACCACACTGTCCAGTGCATGTTGGCAGACTTCACAAGTCCTTGAAATGTTCCGTATACTCATGCAGATTTTCACTCAATAGTTTCCTTCGCTGCTGAACATGAGGCAGATTTGCATTTTAAAATTGCAATCACCAATTTTGCTGGGTTTTGAGACTGGCTGGCTACCACCATAATAAATAAATGTAAATTAGTAATTTACAATATTTAATCTTTAGTTACCCCACATATTTAATACAGTTATACTTACAGCTGTTCACTAAATGGTGTTCAGATTTCTCTTATATTTTTCAAAATACTGTGTTTTAAAATTTCTTTCAAACTGCAATGAAAAGTGTTTTACAGTGAATATATTGATGAGATTTATAGATAATAATCTATTATCTTTAACTATATGTTAATTTATATTATTTAAGAGGAACTTTAATTTTTTAAAGATAGTAAATTATTTCTGGAAATTTGATATAACAAGCAATAACATTGTCATTCTGATTGAGTAATTTAATGTTACCCGACAGCATATGAATGAAAAAAAATTAAGATAATTTGACTACTGATTATTATTGATTTGACTTGTATTGATTGAAAAAAACAAACTTTTTTATTCAATATAGATTATAAATAATACTTATCAAAAGTCACTCTTTTGTTTAATTACCACTGGTTCGAAAAAAAACCTCTGTTCTGGGAAGAACCAGCAAGAAACCCAGTGGGAGTTTTTTTTTTAAAATAACAGCTTACAATCATGTATGTTACACAAATTAACAACACAACAAATTAGAAATAGCTTGGTAGCGATCACCTCATTTCCAGGGGTTATTATCATCCATAAATTCTTTAATATTATAATAACACTTTTTATACAAACTTAGTTTAATAAAGTTTTTGAACTTTGAGCAGGTCAAATTTTGTATATTTTCTGGAATTTTGTTGTAAAAGTGTATACATCACCACAAGAATGAATTACTGACTCAATGGAGTCGAGTAACTGGTCCTACTAAGTTGTGTCTGTTCCTAGTATTGACATTTGCTTTTTCAAGTTAGTAGCAGATTGTAAATCTTGTTAATCACTCTTTCTGTTTTGTAAATATATTGTGGATTGTTTTTATGAAAACCGTGTGTAAAATTATTATAGATTACAACACATTTAAAATTTAAATTTTTTCTTTTAATGAGGAAAATAATTTTAATATGTATTCTACTAGACACGAATATAAAAGATGTGACTAATGCTAAGGCCTTTGCATAGTAAAATTAATACCTAGGATAGCATTGAATAGATGTTTCATGGTTAAATAATACTTATACATTAAAAACTTAGTCCTGGCTCTTGGGTCTTCATTGCTGTGAAGTAAAAAAGTAAAGTTACTGTCTATACGTGACCCACTCCTGAACACAGGCCTCCTCTCATGTCTGAGAGGGTTTTTAAGTCAAGGAAGTATGGCTTATCTGACCCAATGTCTGATGGTGGAATCCACATCAATTGGATTTTTTTTTATTTTCAAACATGTAGGTTTCCTCAGTATTGTTTTTCAAACAAAGCACGGCATCTCTTCAGTCTCAGGTCCATTAGACGAGCATTCAAACAATGTCCTGTTTTTCTTCGATATGCCCGAAGCCCTAAGTCTTCATTTAACACCCTTTTCACTGTGGTTCTGCTTAACCCCATCTGAAGGGCCAACAGTTTCTGCTTACGTTTGGGATTTCTTTGAATTCGCGCCTTCACAGCTTTTATCACTGCTGGAGTCCTAACAGACCGAGGGTGACCACTTCTTGACCTGTCATTTACACTAGAGTCTTCATTGTATCGTTTGATGGTACGATAAACGAATCTTTTGGTTATATTCAAATTTTTCAGTATGTCAAAAATTTGAATCGGCGCGTAACCGCAACGATGCAACGCAATAACTGCAACACGGCCATCTTTAAGCGTCCACTCCATATTTAAAAATGAGTAAAATTCTAAAAAGTATACAGTTTTATTTTCATGAACAATTCGAAATTCGAATTCAATAAACTTTTTTGTGGCCAGCATTCTAAAAGAAAAGTTTTTACTGTGTGACAATACTTATGACCTGACTAGGTATATGTGGAGTTGCTTTCGCCGTTTCTTCTCAGGTCAGTAGTACGTAATTTCGAATCGGTAGTAGATTTGGAAAAAAAGACATATGCCAATGGATATTCTATTTCTAACAAATTAAAAATTTAAGATATTTCTTTTCATTCGCAATAAAAACCTTATTTAGGTAATTATTTTACTTCAACTTATGAACAACTTTATTAGTAACGAGCAAAAGCCTTCGTTAATTCTAAATATAATTTAAAATTTTGTGTCAATATAAATTATTAAGAATAACTCAAAAACTATTGGTCAGACCTTGATTTATATGGGACCTCATGTGAAGCACCAGCTTTTAAATCATCCAAATCAGTTCACGCAGTAAAAAGTTATGAGGTAACAAACATAAAAAAAACATACAGTCAAATACCGTCTCCTTTTTTAAGTCTGTAGAAAAGACTTATATGCGAACATTTTGACAGTGTGCACTCAGACCAACAAAAAATATAGACAGAGTACTGCGTAATGCATATGTATGCGTCCAGCAGTAAATTTTTACTGCTGGACGGATACATATGCACGTTAACCATGTTTTTGGTGCAAATGATTTTAGATGCGTGTGTACGTGAGTGTGTGTTCTTACAATAAGTTGAGCATGACTGGATAAGTTTTTGCATCTCTTGAATTTTACGCAGCCCTCCGAAGAGACGAGAGAAGAAAGACGTTCTTTTGATAGCCTGAGAGTGAAATAAAAAAAAACTCAGATCCTTATTTGACACTATTATTACTTAAATCATAGAATCTATAGGAATATACATTGTCCTTGGAACTGCTATGGAGCTTGGCCCCCGTTCAAATCAACTCTTCTCTTATCGGAGAATCCGTCGTGTCCGAAAGTTGTTTACACCGTGCTTGGTCCCCTTTTCACATTTTTTGTTTTTGGAAGGATAGTATTAATTTAATAAAAAGTTTTATCTTTTTCTACATGACCTAACAACATGATTTTCTTGCGTTTACGTTGCATTACGTCGCCCTTTTCCTTTCCTAACTTGCTTGACATACGTATTTTAGTAATTTCCAATAGAGTAGAAATTGGTCAAATTATAAACCCCGTTAATTAAATCGTACAAAAGTGCAGATAACCTCAATTGCGTTGTGTTTTCCATGTAAATAACACAATGGAGTTCCACCAAGATATTATCGCAAGTGTAAACTATTAGCGTCGTTGAAAATTTTGTTTATGTTCTTGCAACTTACCTGTCTCGTCTTGTGGCTCAATCAGCTAGTATTGAACGGTAAGCAGTTAATAGGAAAGTTTAAACTTCGTATAAATAGCTTGGTTAATTAGTTCATAGTTCAGCAATGTCTAGTCAGCTGGATTAACGAAATTATGCGTTTCCTAGGGTAATCATGAGTTACATAATGATTTCTTATATTTACGCGAACACTACACATTGAATAAAACTACTTTTACGGATTCTATCGCGTATATTATTTTTTATAAAACTCCCGACGTTTCGGCTGCTTTACCTCAGTCCCCCGTGATAATGGGTCCTGTAAAGCACCAAAACGTCGGAAATTTAATAAGAAATAAGTTAATTAAACGCGATAGAATCCGTAAATGCAGTTTTATTCAATAATCATGAGTTTAGTGGAAGTTTTAATTTAAATGGGTTTCAAATTGAATTTCATTAGAACGTTCGTCGACAGATCCACTTTCAGTTGTTAACTTTTAGAAAACAACTTGCATCGCTTAATTTAAATTAGCTATTGTCGCTCGTTAAATGAGTATATTAACACACCGCAGTGGCAGGAAATGGAACTTAATTGTCAGTAACGCTATCTATTACGCTCGGAATAGCAAAAAATAGAACACTTTTTACCAATAGGCCTCGTCCAATGGGACTTAAGATATTTAGGTAAGATATTCATAATATCGATGGTTAGTAAGATTGAATTTTTTACCCGACGATTTATTTTCTCACCATCAAAGGTGCCATTTTGTACGTATGTATGTTGTTTATGTATATTTATAATTTACACAAAGTTTGTCTGCTTCTCTGTGACCTTCTGAAGCGTAAAAGGTTTGACGGATTTTAAAGTGTGAGGTGTTGTTAGATTCATCTTCATCCTCCCAGTAAAAATGGCTCCATTTTTTTTTCTAAAAATCAATCAATGTTGAATTATTGATCTCGTTCCAACGCACGGATATATATTAAAGGTATCAAATGAAAGGTCTAAAAATCTAGATATTGTTGCGCGCCACTATTAATGTCTTGTACATGGCAACATTAGTTACCACTAGCGCCCTCTAGTATTAGTAGAACGTTCTGGAAACTACCTGAGGCCCTATACAATATGTAAAAAAAACCCTGTGATTCCCGTTAAGTACGTTATCAGGATCAGTATTCAAACCTATAGAAATAACTTTTTTTTTAAATCTACCATATATTTTTTCAATTTTATTAAAAAAAAAATTATGTTATGTTGTTTTATTACCTCTTACTGACACTAGCCGATGCTAAAGCTAAGTAAAGCGGGGTCTTTGACAATCCTCTTACTCCCCAGACAATGCAGAGGTACTAATCCCACATACATTTGCAAATTTTTTTATTTTATTTAAAAAAATATTGTTCGAGTTTTTAAAAAAAAAAGTTATTTATATAGGTTTGAATAATGATCCTGATTACTTACTTAACGGGAACCACAGGGTTTTTGTTACATATTGTATATGGCCTCAGGTAGTTTCCAGAACTGTAACCAGGCGATATAGACCGCGACCGAATACTTCGAAGCGAAATAACTGCGAACTAAATTGACCAATAGTACAATTGTGTTTTATTATTAGTGTGGTTTTAAATTATAGTTAGTGTCCTGTAATGAAAGTGTCAATTTTGGTAATTCAATCGGCAGTTTTTAATTGTCTCGAAGCGCAAGCTTGTAACAATACTATAATACTATTTACTAATTTATACTACTAATCCTATATTGAAAAACCTGACTTAAAAAGTAACTGAAAAGAGAACATACAAAAGCAATAATTTCCAAAATGCTATTGAATTTAAATTACACTCAAACATTATGCCGTCATCAGCGTGTTTAATAATGCCTTTTTTTGTATAGCTATCACAGGTTATATAATATAATCACAATTAATATTTTATATTTTTTATTTCTTAACATTGATCAATGTTTATCTGTAGTTTATTGCAAATCTCTGTAATGTATTTGAATAAAACATTGATAAAGTTGATTTATTGAATGAACATGTTTTTACGTCACGTTATTGTCCTTCCTTGATTTATCATATTATTCTCGTCATCACTTGTTATTTTTAATGTTACAAAATCTTTTCTACGATTGTTTAAAACTATTTTAAAGCTGTAAATAATATTTTCTTTAATTAAATGAGTGACACTGTTGTTCAGTTCAGTTCATTTTCTAAATTGTAACAATTGATTTTATATAATCACGAATGTATGCTGCTCTGCAATGAAATGAAATGAAATGAAATTCGTCGATACTGTGCAAATTCTCAGTCGCCGCAGCCCCAGATTCCTCGGTGAAGTTTATGATTTCGATCTTTACGGACTAAAGTTCAACTGTAGATAGTGTTTTAGAATTACGATTATATTAAGTGTGAGACGCGGTGTTCTACGTATAACAATCCGTGATGACGTACCCTATGAGCGACATCTCAATCAGATTGGTCAATACATCATAGACGACGCAACATTTGCTTAGTATAACATGACGATATTAAACGCCTATTAAACTATAATATAGCCTTCATTCGTTATTAAACCGTGTAATGGCAGTGTAAGAATATCCACTACTTGATATCGTCCCGTTGGGTGTCGTAAGAGGCGACAGAGGGATATTGATACAAGAGATGGCAGCACCTTCTTCTTGATAACAACTGAAAATAATAAAAACTGCGGTTTGCAACATGCTTGTCAAGCGTGGCAACTCTAGCAAAATCTTTTTTTTTTTACTTCTTATAAGCCAGTGCTTGACCACAATCCCACCTGGTGGTAAGTGGCAATGCAGCCTTAGATGGTAAAGCGCACTGTCTTATCGTAACAAAAGCCTATTCACTCATCCCCTCCCTCATTCATCTCCCCCTTTGAGACAATCTTTGGGAGAGGCCTATGCCTGAGGAGGTGTATGATGGAGGCTGTAATGGGTGAATGACAGCCTTCATTATTCGACACGACTCGATAGCGATACTATGCATATCCGCGTGACGTGACACAAATTAAATATCTAGCGATATTTAATTTGTGTCACGTTGTTATTTATAGATATAATCCTCCCCAACGATATCCTGAATTTAATTATGTCAAGATTTAGTGAGGAATTGGTGACATTAAGTAACTTAAAAGTTAGTGATTCAGATATCTGATATCTGTCAAAATATTCCCTTGCGTTAATAAGTCTTTAACGAATTCTTTGTATGCATGGATTATCTGTAATTGCAAAAAAAAGTTTATATCCTTTACATTTTTACATGTATGTGGTAAGTGATAGTCACCTGGCATCTATAATATGGTGCATCTATAATAATATTATGGTTGTAGCACGAACGTGTCAGCTGACGGGAAAAGGACCACACTCTCAGAATACCAGCGTAAAATAGCAGCTTAATGCTGCTGTTATTGGTATGATGAGTGTAACTCTGTTAGTTCAATCATTACATTTCGGTAAGGAAATAAATAACATGACTTCTGGTAAAGGTATCAAAAATTATTTTCGGCGGCTAAGATTGTTTATTATATATCCTTGGTCGAATCAAAGCTTCGAACATGTGTTATGCAGCAAGGCACCCAATACTGTTGCCAGCTAAGAGTAATATTACGGAATTATTAGTGACACATTATCATCAGAACCAGAGACCCTTTTTACTGGTAATGAGACATTCTATCGTCTTAGTCATCTTAGACCCCAGGGGTGACAGCGCATCTGCATTTTGATTCTAATCGATGATAAATGTAGATGTCTATTGACCACATCATCCACTTACCATCAGGTGGACTGTGTGCCCGTTTGTCACCCGTATTCTATATAAAAAGTCCTTAGTTTATCTCGAAAATGTGGTGTTGCATTGCTTAGAGTATTTATAAGAACTCTTTAAGTTGCATTGCTATTGTACCGACCAATCTCATGATTTATACGCAGCACAGTCATGATTTAGAGTTTAGACAATAGCAGCAACTAAATAAAAAACCAAAAGGTACTCTGTGAGAAAGGTCCTTCTCCATTCGTGCTACAAACAATACAATAAAGCTGCAGCATGGCTCCACCACGTATAAATCAAACTTAAAAAAAATATATGGTTGACCCTGCAGACCATCCCTGGAACTTCCCGCTTATTTTTACGACAAAATTACCTACACGCATGCACACACCCTGGGTGTGGATGTGTGCGTGCCCAGACCCAGACCCAGACTCACCCACACCCACACCCAACCACACACACACACACACACACAACCACACGCACAAACACATGTACACACACACACACGCGCGCGCGCGCACACTCACACACATCTCACGGACATATATCCTATCCATACATAATATGTATGGTAATTAATTATTCTAGTGATAAGCACTGGCTTCCTCTTGTTTCTGAGAGTTTTGGAACAGGAAAAGTCCGCTACTTCGATATGTGTGTTGTCATATTTCTTAGATATTGTTGGTATGTGAGATCATGGTCGTTTTGATGTTATCAATATTATTACTAGTCACCACATAATAAACAATCACTATTGACCTTCACCAGTTCTATTCAGCGCCAATTTACTTCGTTTTTTTTAGATCAATACAATACTATAACATAACATTGAAGTTTTATTGGTTTAATGCACGCATATGATCACATAACGTTCAAGCTTACGTAGCAAAGCTTTAGTGTTTTCATTGTTATTTTACTACACGAGATTTTATCAGACAAGATATTCTATTATGATAATATGAAAGACGGAAATTTTGAGTTGCCACAGATAGTGCTAACTTTTATTGAACAAGCGTATTTTTTTTATTGACATGATGGTAAATTAATATATGCTGTGGCCCATAAACATCTACATTTGTCTTCAATTAAGAATCAAAATGCAGATGCATTGTCACCCCTGAGGACTAAGACGGAATGCCTCGTATTCAGTAAAAAGGGTTCTCTTCATTCATCATACGATACAGCAGCATTAAGCTGCTATTTAACGCTGTGCTGTGCTATATTCTGTGAGAGCGTGATCCTACCCTGAGGCGAGCCGAACCATTCGTGCTACATTCATAATATAGTTGCAACGTGACTCTACCACGTATTTTATTGATTGTGCTTTAGTTTCCACTTGATTTTCATAATTATATAAATTAGAAATTAACATAGATATTAATTATAAAACTTTTATTCTATTTTTAACACAATAAAATAATTTATGTGTATAAAAATTAACAATATGTAATTTTTTTAATTTTCAGGGTTTTGTTCCGGGCATGTTTGGTGTGTCTCACGGCGCCTTGCAATTCATGACCTACGAAGAAATGAAAAATAGATACAACCAGTACAGGAATCTGCCTATTGATATAAAATTGGTGTGTATTAATTTTAGCTTTGTTAATTTTAACTTAAGCTTTGTTCATAAACTCTTGGTTATATTGTTAAAATTGCAATAGTTCTGTTGACTAGCTCTTTTAACAATCTTTTCTATCTTTAATTTTTAATCTTAAAAATTATGAAAAAAGAAACATGAACTTGTGAATATGCCTGCCTGAAGCCAGCTATCAATTACAAAGTAAAAAATATCACGTTAGTCATATCACAAACTTAATTGTAATTGCCTTAAATATATTATAGTACCTTTTAGATATTTATTACATAATCACTAAGGTTTTGTTTGTGTATATAGGTAGGTAAATACAATAGAAACCGAATAACTTTTATTTCAAAAGGCCACTTTTCACTTGTGGTGACACTAACAAATAACTACAACTCATAACAAATAACTACAACGATACGACTTAGGGACCTTCAAGAAAAGAGCCTACTCCTTTTTAAAAGGCCGGCAACGCATCTGCAATTCCCCTGGTGTTGCAATTGTACATGGGCGGCGGTAGTCACTTACCATCAGGTGAGCCGCATGCTCTTTTGCCTCCTCTCCTATAAAAAAAAGCTCAGTCCCAACTAGTGACATCTCATTCAAGTGATAGAATGGAAAGTTATTTAAATTAATTAATTAATTAAAATTGTCATTGTAATTATTAAAAATAGTAATGTGTGTGTACCATTTTTGGCAGCCCCCTAATTTTTGAATAATTTATTTGAAAGACCTTTTAAAAATATTATTTAAATGGCTTGACTGCCTCTGAAAGTCAGAATGACGAGCTACGATGGGTAGAAGCAAAATTGTGAGATGTGTAGTTTTTGGTGAGAGGGCCGTGACCTTGATATAGGAAGATGGCAATCAATAAAGTGTTCTCTTGCAGACATCTATCGAGTACCTAACGTTCGCTGCTATCTCGAAGCTGATCGCGGCGGGCGCCACGTACCCGTACCAGGTGGTGCGCGCGCGCCTGCAGGACCAACACCGCAACTACACCGGCGCCTGGCACTGCGTCACCGAGACCTGGAGGTACGAACGTATCAGAGGCTTCTACAAGGGCCTGACGCCGTATCTCCTACATGTAACGCCAAACATATGCCTAGTTATGCTCATATGGGAAAAGTTCACCAATAATGACTGAATTCGAACCTATCTGATGGGAAATGTACACGACTATATTACGATACGATCTGTAGCGACATTTGTATATTTATTTTATATTTGTGAAACTCTTTTATCTCTGACCTTTTAAATTGACAGCTGTCTACCAACAGGGTTCTTTGTGGTCTCGTTTTTGTGTATGGAGTGGTTTTTTTAAGGTAAGATTAGTGTTTAAGCAGGATGTATTTTATTTATATTTTCTTTATGAAATTCTGTCGTTTAATAAATGCATTTTTGTTAGTGTTTTACTTTCTCCATGTAAATTTTTTTTTGACAACAAATATGATTGTTATTTTATATAAGTATGGCGGATTTTGTACTATTTATTTATATAAATATAGACTAGACATGATTTCGACAGGTTATTATAAATAAGGATTTTAGATAATGGCATATAATGGATACTATTTTAATTGGTCAAATACTTAAATATAACATAGTTAAATTAAAACATAAATAAATATTGATATTCATTGTACAACTTTGTGATACAATGTCATTGTTAATATTTATAACCTGTCTCACGACATATGTTGTGTTTCTTAATCGTTTATCAATAAATAATCGTAATCTCTTAAATATAGTAGTTAGTACTCTTTCCCATCAGATCGTTCTTATACGACAAAATCAGGCGACACAAAATTTCGGTTTTAGTATGTTGCCATGTTTAGCACAATTTAGTTATAAATTGAAGTTTTGTGATAATAGTACTTAGAATATATTAAATACGAATTTCCAAACTTTATGCTAAAAGACACCATTCGATTTTTAATTGTATAACGTTACATGTGTGGTGAGACGACGTCAGGTTTTAATGTAAGATGGATTGGTTTCAACTTGCTTCTTTAGCATAACTATTATAACAACTTGCATCTAGTAAAATTTATAATTACCTAATAATGACTATAGTTTCTTGTAGTTCTTGCAAGATTGAAGCTCTTCTGTCATAAAATGCTTAACATAGATGTAGACCCCACCTATATTATACATCATTAACATCTGATGTTTAATTTGTTTTTAAATGTACTCGTCTCTAACACTATCTACAATTTTTAGTATGAGCCAGTCCGTATAAGTAGTTCAAATTGATAACATTAGTTCTAATATTATTGAAATAAATCATTATATAAATAAGTATTTATTAAATTATAGTTCAGTTTCACATATCAATATTGTTTGTATTTATAAATATATACTTCATCTCATATCTTATTATATAAAGCATATAAAGCAGGCATCATTGATGATTATTTGACATTTGGAAAATTTATGACATTTATTGATGTGTGTGAAGCGATAGAAAATTACACCAAAAAGAATGTTATGTTGTAATCTGAAGGCACATTGTCAGTAATTTGATTTTTTTCTTTTTCCTTTTTTAAGCTATGTTTAGTTCAGAGAAAAAGATAAGCGTTTTACGATTTGACTTAATTTAATACTGAATATTCTTCACAATTTAAAATTACAACTTAGAAATTCACTAAATAGTGAGGTATAAAAATTAGCAGTAATATTAATTGTAAATATGGCAATTTGTAAAAATTATTCATCTCACCTATGACAGATTTTTAATTAAATAAAATATTATTCACTAAAAAATAATAGCTAGAAATCAGGAGAAAACAAATTATTGTTATAGTTTGCACCTTAATGATATCAATTGCTAATATAAAAATAAATGGTTGCTGTTGCAGAAAAATACAATTTTGAGTCAATTATTTCGAAAAATAATTAATATTTCATAACTGGACTTGATGACACCTTCTTACGCATGCAGACATAATAAGCTTAATGCAGTTGTAATGATTAAAAGTTGACTCAGAAATGAGATAAGGTCTGTTCACAGCATTGGGACATTTAACTTTGTGTTTGGCAGTAGTGTAGGCCTTGGTTTTTAGAATTTGGTGTAGGTGCACCATATTATTAGCGCGCTGAAATTAATAAAAATATATAAAATAGACGAGGAAAAACATTTTCAGTGTCTTCTTTTCAATATGTTATTACTGTATGTTACACATTACAGTTTTTTATTCGTCAAAACATAAACGTTTTAGATATTTTAGGATCTGTAAACATTTCGTAAAAATGATAGGTAACATTTCTTTTAGTCGTCATTCCATTTTTATTTTTAAATAAATTGAGCTTTGATAGAAATAGAGTTTGTAGTTTTAATAAAAAAAAAAGTTGTTCGTATTTAATTTCTATTCCTCGTATTCAATTTTATTAAGTTTAATCGTTTATTCGCATATGTTTTTCTTTGCGCTGTTATGTTAAGAGTTGTTTAGTGGCTGGCCACAAATTAATTACTGAGACATATTATATTTTTATATAATATATTATAAGATTTCATCTGTTTCCAATCGCCTATTCAATTTGTGTAATCAATAAAAGATAGCAAATTGAAAACGGAGTTGTTTTTATTTTGTCTATAAATAGGTGTTTATTAAAACATTTATCCCTTAAATATTTAATAAACATAAATATTATTCCATTTATTTATATATAATTTTTGGATAAGTAATTTTATATTTTTTACAAGTATCTCGTAATTACAAATTTAATTTCGTCTTTTGAATTCGAAATATCGAATTGTTACAATTATATATTGGTTTATTTAATGTAACGCATTACGTTTTTAATAATAGACGTTCATTGGAATTAACACAAAAGGACCTTATTTGGTTTCATAAAAATAGAAATAGTAGTATCGGTAAGTAAATCTACTTTGAAACAATATTTGTCTCATTTATATTCTAAAGCAGAGATGCTATTATTTCCACAGGCACGAGGGCTGGCGAGGTTTCTACAAGGGTCTGAAACCAAACTTGGTGCGAGTTGTTCCCGCTACCATGATCACATTCCTGACTTATGAGAATGTTTCTCACTACATGTTGCGAAGGGGACAGCAGTATAAATTGTCAACTTGAGCATTGAAAATATATACATATTTTCAATGCTTAAGCTTGAAACATTGCTTTTATATACATATATATTGAAAATATATATGTATATAAAAGGAATGTTTCAAGGATTTAGACCACAAACTGAACCTTTTAATTTTTTTTAACTGTCTCATCTTGAGTCATTTTTGAGTGTGTTTTAATAAATGTAAGATAAGTTGTTCCAAGCTTGGCAAAATATTTGTCCTTAAATAATTCTTTCTATTATAATTAATTCTTGAAAATGCGTGTTTCCCTCATTGTGTTTCCTCAAGTTTCGTCAAAAAAATTGTTCAAGATAGGACAGTTAAAGAAAAATATATTATTATTTTAGTTATTCTGATCGTGGGACTATCGATATTCTTGTATAGTTTAGAATTTTAAATAATACTAATGCTTACTGTATTTTTGCATTTTCTTAAGATAAAAATTTTAACTTAATATTTAGTAATATTATGTTGGAAATTTGTATTTTAATTAAAAAGGGTTTAAGAAAGCGATGCGAAATAAAAGCGTATGTGTGATTTTTTTAAATTTGATATTTTTTTTAATTCTTGCTAGAGCCACGAGGATTAGGCTATTGTACTCGAAATTAAATGAAATGTATATTTTAGTTTGATTGTTATTATAAATAACTTGATAAAATAAAGTAGATACAAGTTATTAATGGGACATTATTTTCTAATTATTTACCAAGCTTTTATTATTTATTTCAAATTATTTCATTAGTGTTAAATAAAATAGCAAACATACTTTTGTAAAATTATTTTAATGTAAGAAATATGTTACTACACAGGGTTTCATTGCCATTGAATTAGTACGATTTTAATATTAGACAATGTTGTTGATTTTTGAATAAAACTACTTTTACTGATTTTTTCGAAAAAATAAGATAAATAAGTTAATTAAACGCGAAAAAATCCGTAAAAGTTGTTGATTTTTGTTTTATTTTCTTACTGTTGGTTAAAACTCCACTGTGTGATGCCGAAGGATTATCAACAAATGTTGCCTGTCGGGTTTTATTTGAAATTTACCTACTTTATATCATAATATTATAATTTTTGTTTGTCTTTTATATTAAAACTGGACAGATTGCGTTAAAATTTAAATAGATTAATTAGGAACCTTAAAACGATATAGGGAACATTTTATTTCGATATTAGTTTTTACAATGTGCTTTATCATAGACAAGTTACGAGTAATAAGCACTTTGCAATTTTTCATCATTTACTCACGAATAGTAAGGCCAGTAGTAAGCAATGACTTTAGGCGCTGAAGGCCGCGGGTTTTAATCCCACACGGGGCAAGTATTTGTATGGCTTACAAATAATTGTTCAGGGTCTGGATGTTTGTACTTGTGCAATGTTTATATGTAAACTACGATACAGGAGAAAATCCTAGTTTAGGCGGTAGCAGTTACGTAACGTTAAAAATAAAAAATAAATATGCGGCAAAGACAAAGTCAGACTGTTTGGCTCTCTAACTTAAATTAAAAATACCCCGAAACAAAAGGAACTGATGATCTTCAAACGGCTGAAAAGATTTTCTTAAAGCTAAGAACGCTCGTTATCAAGTCACCTTTTAAACAAAAAAAAAATCCAATATCTTAATCGGTTCATTAGTTTAGGAGCTACGACGACTCAGACAGACACAGATACACACGTTAAACATATAACACAACTCAGTTTCGTCATGTAAAATACAAACTTAAACTAGCACGTTTCCTGCTCAAAGTTCAAAACCTTTATTAAACTAAGTTTGTATAAAAAGGGTTATTATAATATTAAGGAATTTATGATTGATGATAATCCCTGGGAATGAGGTGGTCGCTACCAAGCTATTTCTAATTTGTTTTGTGTGGTTAATTATTGTGATTACATGATTGTAAGCCGTTATTTAAAAAAAAGAAGTCCCGCTAGGTTTCTTGCTGGTACTCGCCATTAAATAACTGGTATAATGGGCCGCAGTTACCTATATGTTACTAATATTCGTAATATGAATTTTATAGTGCTCGTTCGTCACCCTTATCCAATAAACCGTTTCCAGTGCCTTTTCAAGCAGGAATTTAAAGGGCGGCAATGCATCTGCAATTCCCCTGGTTCCCCTGGTGTTGCAGTTGTTCATGGACGGCGGTAGTCACTTACCATTAGGTGAGCCGCATGCTCGTTTGCTCCCTCTCCTATAAAAAAAAATAAATAAAATTGAACAACGGCCTCAATGCAATCAACTCCAGCCAGTCCCGTCTGCATTCTATAATCGCCTACTAACTGCTTTAAAGCGTGCAAGAGCAAAGAGCACACTTGTAGTATTGCTCACGCATATCAATAATCATGATCAGCATGATTACATTCTACATCCCATTTGGCTAGTACCTACTCAAAAAAAAATTACAACACGCCCATTCACTCTTTCCCTCGGTTTCGACTTTTTACTCTTGTTTTTATACGTTTCTTTCTTTGGTAATGGACTCGTACCATTGTATTATTGCCAGTGTTAAGTAATAAGATATTATCCTTTATAGTACACTTCTTCCTATGATGCGTCTCATTGCGAAGTTTTAAGGAGATATTGACGACAGCTTGAGCCAGTATCAGATAGTTGATGGCGATAGTATATTAAGACGTCTAAACAGGCACATTATCTTGAGGTTTACATCACTATCGGAGCACTTGTTACACCGTTTCCACTAATAGTCCACATGCTTAGACATTTAATACATAAAATTACACCATTTACGTATCAAAATCCACTTCAAATCATTATTTAAACAATAATACAATTGCTGGCGGGCAAGTTATAAATTTTTGTATAAATTTACTTACATATATAAAGGTAAAGTTACAGCCTATATACGTCCACATACGGCAGCAGTCATATTATCTGATAGGGTATGTATGGTATGGAATGATTAGTCTCTGAGCTACCATGGTCCTACTTCATAATTATTAAAACATTACATGAATTTATTGTACACTCATACATAAAAGTTAAAGTAAAATATTATAATATATTAAGTTACTTTAAAGTTACACCAAGGCTGTCAACCTAGTTCCTTTTACATCTAGTTGTTAATACAGTTTGTTTAGTTTTGGATAAAAAAAAATTAGAAACTAGAAATAAAAGCACAAAAATAATTTAAAATAAAATTAAATATCGTTGTCTCCTTTTAATACAGCATCACAATATGATAGTATTACATTGGCTTTTCTTAAACTAGGTACCTATTTAGTGATAGATGTAAGTAGTTTAATATTTCGATGAATTGTATTTGATTTATTTCACAGCCAGTGATGTTGCAATTTTCAGATATTTTAGAAATAGGATATTTTCTTTGTACTGTATTATTATTATTTAAATAAATGGTAGTAATCTAATTTATTTTTGATTTTTAATGAAATGCAAATTTTTGATATATCGGTACAAACTATGTTGGACAAAAATATACATATGTTACGGCTAATGTTAGAGTAAATAATAAACTTAAGATTAGCCGGCTAAACTTAGGTTTAGGAAAGGCGTAACTTTATACTCGATCTCCATTTGTGTAACGGACTCTAGAGACCGTTATGCGGAGGTAGTGGAGCTGCACAGAGCACATGCACAGCATATGCACATGCACAGAAAATTTGCGTTAAATAGCAGCATCATGCTCTACGGGTGAGTCGAACTATTGCTGCAGCAACACTACAGCGTGGTTGTTAAGTTTAAGGTATGGAACGTCTGCACGGAAAACAAAAAAAAGTTTTTTTTTCTCAGCTTTGACGTCTAATTAAGTGGTCTATGTTCTCAGTTTTGTTTGTAGAATACCGGTAACAATTATACGGGCAAACATTCCACCTGATAGTAAGTGTCCAATACTCAATTAATAATATGCAGATGCGTTGCCACCCTTGAGGACTAAGATGGAATGCCTCGTTTCCAGTAAAAAGGGTCTCTGGTTCTCTACACTCATCATGCGAAACACAGTAGCATTGAACTGCTATTTATTTATTAAAAACTTAGCGGTTTAATGTATATTTATAAATTTACAAAACGTGGTTATTTGATAGTCCCAAACTTAAAGACTTAGTGATGAAAAAAAATCGGTTAGTCGCGGCGCCACACTGTCTGTGAAATTGGACATATGCGCGAACTAAAATGTAAAGTATGGAATTTCATGGCAAATACAAACATAGCATTGAAACGTGAGCAGGTTCGATTTCTGATTGCTGTTGGAATTAGTATTTGCAACTTCAGTACCTACTCACTGGGTACAGTGAAGGAAAATAACAAAAACTTGGTAAATCCGATTTTGCATGCCTTACCAAAATTGTGGTTCTATTCGTCAAAGAGTTTCAGTAGCAGTCACCGAAGTACTAATCCATCAACTCCGGGGGTAAGGTCTATTGATAACTAACAAAACGAGCCCTAACTCTACACACCTATTTAGTAGTAATCTACTTGTCGAGGAGTTCCGGTAGCATTCACTGAAGTACACCTTCAGGTCACTATCAAGTCCGGAGAAAAGGTCTCATCATAACTAACAAAACGAGACCAAACTCGGCACATCTAGTTTTACTCTTCGAGGAGTTCCAGTAGCATTCACCGAAGTACACCTTTAGGTCATTCTATCAAGTCCGGAGGTAAGGTGTCACATAAGGTGTATAACTAACAAAACGAGGCCAAACTCGGCACACCTAGTTCTACTCCTCCAGGAGTTCCAATTTATATATTCAATATGATTGTTAGATACGATTTCACGCGACAAAACGTTGAAATCTTAATTTTTAGACGCGCTTTGCGCTTAAGGCATGCAATTCACACATAAACTTCATGCCTGTTACTCAGAGGGGTAGGCAGTGTACATCATTATTAGCATCATCATTACAACCCTCTTCAAGCCCACTATTGAATATAGCCCTCCCCCCAAGGCCACAAAACACGATCCTGAGCCACCTGTATCGCTGACCAGGTCATTACTCCATCCAGTGCATTTCTCTTGCTAGAAC